AAAATGAGCAGTGGAGTGAACAATGCTATAATTCTGCAAGACTTTGATGATAGTTGATGATGACATATTTATGCACATTCCAAATCTCATGGAATACCATCAAGAATGGGAACAAATGGGTGTTCAAGACTTTTGGATAGGTCATGTTCATCATGGTGCCACTGCCATTATGAATAAAAGCAGCAAATACAATCTTTTCTATGAAATGTACCAACCACAAATTTACCCAGACTATGGGGCCAGCAATACTGATGTCATCTCCAGTGACACAGTAGCCAAAGTGTATGAGGTGTCACAGATACAGAATTCTAGTCTTTACATAGATGGGTTCATGGGCCCCAATAAAATGGAGGTAGTACCACAGTACCATGTGTTTCTTTTTTCCTGGGGAATATAAAGATCCTTATCATCCCTGTATCAATGAAAAAATGGTGACATCTTACGGATCTTCAGCACCTTTGGAAAGATGCTACAGGTGTTAATGTAAAAAGTATTTCAAAGGGATGTTTTTTTCAAATTCACGGCAGGGTCATTAAGACAGTTCTTTGAAAATTGACCTACAAGAACATATATCCTTACAGGGCTGCATTTGTCTAATGGGACTGGAACTCTGTGATGTTTGTATGACACTGAGTCAAATCTGGATGAAAAACCTTTACATGTTTGTCTATATACTAAGTAAAATGAATATGAAAGACAAAGACCTTCTGAAAGCCCAATCTATCAAAATATTTCATTGATCATGGACGCTATGCAATGTAACATCGAATTCATGGCCTAAATTTATGTAAAGGAATTCATAATTTAAAATTTATGTTATTATGAGGGGAAAACACGAATAATGCAAAACACTACCTCTCATTTAATGCCTCAGATATATTTAAGGTGCAGACAAATTATTAAGAAACTCTGATGTTAGAATAATCATTTTTGGAAAATGTGAAGTAAATGCATAGTACAGCATTTCAAAGAAATAAATGTAACTTTAGTCCAGGTATTCCAGCTTGTTTTTTGTAAAGAGCATTTGGCAGAGATTGGGGATGGGGAAGCATTGCCAGAGGACAAAGTACATGTATCTTTAAAAGTCTCTTGTCTTAGGAGGAAGAGCAAGAAACTATCTGCACTTTCATTATAAACAGCTAAATCATTAGTGGTCACATCCATGTAACTGTTTACCTATATAGTATTGGCATCATTTAAAATATATTTGTGTCTTTTTCTCAAAGTTGAATGTGAAACTTGAAAAAAAGTCATTAGCTCTGCTCTAACTGGAATATAAAGCATTTTCCCCCAATATTACAAATGACAGAAAACATGGGCTATTTGTTGTTCACAGTGTCCTAATCTAGAGAGAAATTATTGTTCATTGCAATAACAAGCCTATTTTAATTTAATGAGTTTTAAATTGGATTTTAAATATTAAATACTGGTTCGTATTTAAGGTAGTTGTTTGAAAATTGTTTGCAGACAGAAATATGATAATGGAGGAGACTTCAAAAGGAAAGATAGGGCTGGGGGTATAGCTCAGTCCCAGAGCAAAACAACACTTGCCTAGAAAGGCCCAGACACACACACAAACACAGGCAAAACCATGAAGGCTCTTTTCTCTATAATTTATACAATATTAGTATTTAAATAATTGTACTCATTCCTACAATTAACCTATCCCTTTCCAACATCATAAGCAACAGTATTTTGTTCTACATTTAGATTTTTAAATTTAGAGTATTAAATCAAAGCTGTAGTATCGAAAACAATCTATTCTTGACTCAAATAGCTATCAAAACTACAGTGTCAAACATTTAAAATGCAGTTACTTTTACAATAGATTCAAGATTTTATATCATTATAAAATTGCTATCACTTTCAAAAACTGTAGAGAACTAAGGACTTTTGACAAAGCAGGATTATAATTAACCTTCATTAGTTGATACTTGAATACCTGTTTGCCTTCAGGCTGTCTATACCCTATGAATCTATTCTTGTTAAAATTTGCCACTGGTTGAAAACATTAATAAGTCTTGGGCATCAAAATGATCTTTTTTCATCAAAATGAAGTATTTTTTTGAAAGTTATTTCTTAATAGAATTCTCTGGATCTGTGTTCATCTTTTCTATTTTTGCGTAGAATAGAATGGAAGAGGTTTGAGTTGAAAGGAAATACAATGGCACTTCCTGTTTTTAGAAGAAGAGAGTTGCCATAAGATACTTCATCAGAATTAAAGTACTGAGAACAATATTTCTAATTAGAAGTGTCCTTGCCTTTTGAAAAGGAAGTAAAGAGCCTTTGGTGCTGTACTGTAGGGCTAGCTTAAAAAAAAAAAGGCCAACAAAGGGAGGATAAACAATTAGCGTGGAGAGTCACTTGAGTAAAAGATGGCTGTACATAGGGTTGATTAATTTTACAGCAAAATGTTAAGTATTTATATTGTTTGACTTTTGCTCTAGTATGGAAAAGTAATTAGTGGGTTTAAAAATACTGTATTTCCAACATACAACTTAAAAATTGGTAAGGTTAAAAAAAAGAAAATATCTGCACAAAAAAAGGGGTGGTGAGTGGCTCAAATGTTCAAGCACCTCTCCAGCAAGTGTAAGGCCCTGACTTCAAGTCCCAGTATCAAAAAAAAAATAAAAAAAAATAAAAAAAGAAAAGAAAAGAAAGAAAGAAAGAAAGAAGAAACAACTTGCTCCTTGGGAAACTGAGCCCATCCTCAGGAATAAATGAAAGACAGAAACTGGATCTTTGTATTAGTCTTCTTATAAACTCTTACTAATGAAAAACAAGAGAGGACTCATGAATGATCACCAATAAATATTATAGCTTTACTTGGGAAAGTTAACAGATAAAAGAGTAATGTTTTCCAGCATAATGATAATAGCATATGAACTGCAATATTAATCATGCAAACTTCATGAATCAAAGTAATATTGTTCTTAGTGATTAAAACTATAGTGAACTAAAATTCCACTCTATGATTTGTTGGTAATAAATCAGGGAACCCATCAGGAGACATACATGATGATTCCCCGTATGTTTATATTTCTCATTTACTTCTAGTATGAAACAAATGGAACCTTAACTGAACAATTGACTTTGCTTCTTAGCTCATCATTGTACCCCCTCAGGTTCCAAACAAGGATACCACTATCTTGCACTCAAATTGAAAGAAGTTTCTGGAATACTTAAGTCAAGTTGTATTTTATACAAATGAGCATATACACAGGAAAAAAGAGGCATCTGCCAAGGAAAGATGGCTGCTTCACTTACTTTACACTGGAGAATCCACATTCACAAAGGTTAAAAACATGCTAATCTACACACAATCTCTTCTGAAGAGACTGAGACAAAGTAGCAAAATGCTATGCTTTCATATTATCTCTAATGTTTTCTCTTCAATAAAGTTGGATAAGAGGACAGAACAGGTTCTGGCTGGGAGGGAAGGGGATGGGGAGGAGAAGAAGGAGGGAAAAGAGTCCCAAAAAATGTATATACATATAAATGAATGCATAAACAAACAAAAGAACTCTCACTGCAGCCAGGCAATTGTGGCTCATGCCTATAATCCTAGTTTCTTAGGAGGCACAGATCAGAAGATTCACAACCAGCCTGGTCAAATCATTGACCATATGCTATCTCCAAAATACCCACCACAAAACAGGTCTGCTAGGGAGGGAGGGTGGGGTAAGGGAGGGGGCAGGGGGAAGAGGGGAGAAATGACCCAAATATTGTATGTGCATCTAAATAAAAGAAAAAAACAAAACAAACAGGGCTGGTGGAGTGCCTCCAGTGATAGAGCACTTGTCTACCAAGCCCTGAATTCAAATGCAAGCATAAGCAAAAAAAAAACACAACAAAAAGGAGCCAAGTGCAAACAATCCCCACCCCGTTACACTTGCCACAGTCCTCCCATGTTTTGTTTTCTTTTTTTTTTTTTTAAACATCCAACATTACCTAAACACTTTTTAAATTCCAACATTTTGCTTTGGTTAAATGAACTTTTTATAAGAAACAAAACAGAAAAAAACCTGCAATCCTTGATATTTGGGAGGCTGAGATTGGCAGGATGGAGGCCAGTATGGACCAATAGTTCCCGAGAATGGATCTCCAAAACACCCAACACAAACACAGGAGGCAGCAGAACGGTTCAAGATGTAGAGCACCTGCCTAGCAAGTGTCAGGCCCTGGGTTTAATCCCCAGCACCGCCAAAAAAAGAAACATTGTTACTGTGCTGATTGTAAAAATGAACTTAACTTTCTCTCCTTCCAGGCCTGAGATCCCTCGCCTACCTTGGCCTGAGCCTGCAAACGTTTCACCTCAACCATGATGCAAAGGACAGGTTGACCTTGTTCTCTGGTCCAGGATTGATGTTGCTCCCTCCAAAGTTCTCCCCAACCCCCCACCTTCTTTTACTCCTGTGTCCTCCCTAGAAAGTACAGCCCTTACCCGCCTGGCCATAGATGAGTTAGGAAAGCCTAACACTCAGGTTTCCACAGGACAGAGTCTTAGCTAAAGCTCAGCTAGGTACAAGCGGCTGCCACCCGCACAACCATCAGGGACAAGCAGGCTTAGCAGAAGCAGCAGTGCCAGGTACAACCACAGGCAGCCAAAAAATCCACAAGACACAGACAAACTTCCAGTGCACTTTACTCCATCCTGCCCCAGGGTTAACCTCTCTGTGACATATTATCACCCACTTTGGTGAATGTTTATGTAGAACATTTTGGCCCAGTTCTACATAAATTCTGCAAAAAGTCTCAAACAGTCCATATAAAGATGAGGTCTAGACCTCATTAAGATGTAATTAACATTGTGGATTTATGTAGGAACCGCCTCACAAATCCCCACATTGCTTCCAATGGACCTTGCAAGACAGGGTCCACACTACTTTTGGCTGACATTTAATGATCCTGGATGGTCCCCAGTGTCCTCCTAAGTCTTTCTTCTGTGAGACAAGAACCACTGGTTACCAGTGTCTGATCTGACCTGGGCTACCACATACCTGCTGCTGCACCCTGCTCAAAGAGGGTCCCGTGGTATCCAAGGATAGCCTTTCCTTTGTAAAACCCGGCCTAGAAACAGAAAACGTGACGTCACAGAGGGTAGCGGTGTCCCCTCCCCTCCCCCTCTAGCCACTAGGCACAGTGACCGTCCTTCTCAGAGTTTTGGTCATGGGGTGCGTGGCCAGCGTCACAAACATGGCCTGGTGACAGGTCGTGGGGTTCACACGACCCTCGCCCAACCCTAAAGACTCAGCGGGGCGCCAGCGAGGAGACACGGGGACCCCAACCCCGCGGAACACCCCTCCCACGAAGGGGCAGGAGTCGCCATGACCGCCGTTGGGGACACGGGGGGCCAAGCCGCCCACAGGGCTGTGGGAGGCGAAGAGGCCGCTCACGTGACAAAGAGGCAAATGCCAGACCTGACCCCTGCCCAGCCCCACCCTGCGGCCCAGAGGAGCGAGGACGAGCAGAGCCGGGGGAGGACGCACAGCACACAGGGGCCACCGCAGCATCTGGCCCGTCCCCGCCGCGGCTCTGCCACCCCGGCTGAAATCTCACCATTTCCCGAGACACCCGGCGTCGTCCTTAGGCTCCTGCAGTCAGGGGACACAGAGCGGCCAAGGCTGGGACACCTGGGGCTTCTCCCGGCTTAGACGCGGAGATCAAGTATGGCGGTTCCTGAAAGGAAGGCAGTGCTTTGGGCAGCGGGTACGTCCTAAGATCCGCGCTCCTCATTGGTCAGTTCTTACGCACTCCATTCTGATTGGATAATGATCCAGGCCCCGCCCCTTGACGACGGGGTGAGAGGAGGGCGTTTTCTGCCAGGTTCTAGAACACAGAGGACAAATTCCTCCCACCGCTCCCCGCGGTCTAGGCTTCCTCCCCTTGGGCGAACCTGGCCCAACCTTGGCTCTAAGTGTGTTGAGCAGAACCAGTCCCGACTTTCCAGACCAGACACCTGCTTCTCCCCACGCCTCCTGAACATCTTACGCTGTGCTTGCAAATCGGTACTTTTATCAAGTTTCCTGTGCTGCAGGAATTGCTGAAGTGGTAAAGTCTCTGCCTTGGAAGTAAGGTGTGCTATCATAAATGAACTGGGTATTAATTTAGCAATACAGGACCTTATTACCTGTTTTCCTCCTGCTGCTAGTCAGGCTTACATTAAATTAAAATACATAATGATATGTGACCTTCATCTGCAACATGCCAGTATTCGCCATGTTTGTTGCGATATGACCTAGAAAACACTGTATTATACAAGCTAAGTACTTGAGTTGTAAGGCAGAAAACAAGGTGGTTAGGCATTCCATGGCTGGCAAGGAATCAGAGCTGAATCAATTCCATGCATGAACAACTTGTCAATTAAGGAAAGGGATAATGCTGACACAAGGGACGGCCTCACCTTGGTTATTTCTATACGACATGAATGATCATCTCAAGCTGTCCTTTTTTCCTTTCCTTTCATGTGTGTGCTTAAGTTTATGAACTCCCATATTAGCAATATGAGAGGATTTCATTGGGATAATTTCATACATGCCTGCAGTGGCTTGAGATACCTTGAATCCATTTTGGTACTGGGTGATCTAGTTCCAAAATTCTACATATAATCAGTTTTCAAACACCATTTGTTGAAGAGTGTCTTTCTGCCATCTTCTTTCATGCGTTCCCTAAAGTAGATCATTTTAGGTCTTCCTTGTCTTCTACTATATTGGTTTCTCCCTTTACATATGTCCCTAGTACCCAAGTACTGTGTTCTCTGAATTCTATGAATTTAGGCAAGATGTGTGTTCCTTTTTTTGTATTCTCATGCCTTTTTTTCTAGCAGCAGTAGCGTTAACCTCAGAGCCTCATGCTTCCCAGGCTACCACTTGAGCCATTCCACCAGCATGTAATAAATTTCTCAGTGGGCATCTCTTTAACACGTGTATTATGAAGAATTTTCTGCTTTAATCTTCAATTGTTCAATATTTTAGCATTGTCTGAGAGGATATTTTATGTGAGTTCTATTTCTTTAGATTTTCAAGGTGTTTTTTGTAGCTCAGACCATGGTCTGTGTGGGTGAATGTGCACATGACCTTGAGAACGATGTGTACTCTTTGTTGGATACGGTATTCTGCAATACCAAATGAGTCCAGTTGATGGATAGTGCTGTTCATTTCCAGTACACCATTACTGCATTTCTGTCTTCATCTGTCAATGACTGATACATGAATAAATGCATTGAGATCAACAAATACTGTTGTGCAACTGTAATGTTCAGTTCTGGGTGTTTTTCAGACATATACCTGATCCAAAATTATGTGGATAATTGTTAGGGATTGTTATGTCTTCTTGGAGAACTGCCTGCTTTATCATTATTCCATCCCTCTATTCCTTCTGTTTATCTTTAGCTGCTACTTTCTGATTGGACTGGAATTATAGTTTCTCAAGGTTTGAGCTAGTGTTAGAATTCTATCTCTCTGCCTAACTTTATATGTCATCTATTCTTGGCATTATTTTTATTTTAAAAGTATTTATATGCTACTTAAAATATAATGAAGCTCTAATTTAAGACATAATATTTTGAAAAATGGATACAGAGTGGTGAAATTAGGTTCTTCACCAGATACAGTACTTCTCATACCTATAATTTCATTGTGATTAGAGTACCTACATTCTATCTGGGCATCAGTGGCTCACACCTGTCATACTAGCTCTCAGGAGGCAGAGATCAGGAGGATCATGGTTAGAAGCCAGCCTGGGCATATATTCTGTAGTGCTCATTAATAGCTTATATAAACAGTGTTGGGAGATGGGAACTTTTTTTGGGCAGCTGAGGGTTTGAACGCATGGCCTCAGGCTTGCTAGCCAGGTGCTCTTACCATTTGAGTTACTCTACCAGCCCCTGTGTTGGGTGTTTTTGAGACAAGGTCTATAAATATTTACCTAGGCTGGCTCCAAACAGTGAGTCTCCTAATCTCTGCCTCCTAAGTAGCTAAGATTTACAGGTGTGAGGCTCTGGCACCTGGCTTGCAAGTGATATTTTCAATCCTTTGACTAGTATCTCCTCAACTCCTCATGTCTTTATGTGTAAAATGATTTCTCAAGAAAAGAACAGAGTTGATTCTTTTTTTCTAAACAATGGTATCACTGTTCTTTCATTGATATGTATAGATAATTCACATCTTGAGATAATTGCTAACTGGCTAATATGATCTCTACTTCCATCCATGTTGCTGGAAATGACATAATTTCAATAAATTTGTGGTCTATATATAGTGCATTTTATTTTTACATCCCTTTGCTGATTCCATAGCTTGAATATTATCAGTACTGCTGCTAGGAACATGATTGTTTTGCTACATTCCTTTGCATATAGGCCCAGGAATGGTACAGTAGGATCTCACAGTAATATAGGACAGAGAAGGTTCTCCCACACCTTCCCTGGTCAACAAAGCATCTCAGGTCCTTGAGATCCACAAATAGTGAAAAGATGTCTCAAAACAAGAAACCTTGCAAGGAGGTAGTTTTAGCAAAGATGCTTTTTAATATAACAAGATAAAGTATAAACAAGTGGAGGGGGAGAGAAAAAGACAGAGAAACCTTTCTTGTTGCTCACCCACAAAATGAGAGCAAAGGTTCAAGATGGTGGTCCCCACCTCCTAGTCTTATACTCAAGACCTGGAGGAATACACATAGTCAAAGACAATAGGTCTGGGTGGTGGCTATGGGTGTTAAAATCAGTAGGGGTCTGTCCTGGCCCACCCAAATCACAGGGACAGTAGGAGTGCTTTGTACTTTTCCTGTGATGACTTTCCATCCATCCAAGGATCCTTGCAGCTTCTTCACATCTCAAAGAAGACAGCAGAAATAGGAAGCTCCTGTTTGTCTCCCTGTTCATGTAATTTAGGATCTAAAAGGAGATGGGAGGGGGCAAGCTGCTCTGGTTCGCCAATCTTGAGTTCCTTGTTCCCATGTCAAAATGTGACCCTTAAAATACTACAATTTTCCTGTCTCCTCATCTGTTTGTGATGCATCAGTTGCATTTTTCATTTTTTAAGGAACTTGTATAGTAATTTCCATTGCACTCCAGTAATTTTCATTTCCAGCAACATCACCCAATTCAAAATTCAAAATGTAGCTGGGCACATCTGTAATCCTAGCTAGTCAGGATGCAGTGGTCCACATCTGTAATCCTAGCTAGTCAGGATGCAGAGATCAGGAGGATCTCAGTTCCATGACAGCCTGGACTATAGATTTCAAGACCCTATCTTGAAAACAAAGTCAGCCAGGTGCCAGTGGTTCATGTCTGCAGTCCTATATAGAAGGACTGAAGATCAGAAGGATCTTGGTTCAAAGTCAGCCTAGGGAAATAGTTCATGAGACCCTATCTTGAAAAACCCTTCACAAAAATAGGGCTGATGGAGTGGTTCAAGGTGAATGACCTGAGTTCAAGCTTCAATAATACAGAAAAAAATCACAATGTAAACAACTAAAACAACTCTCCTTAGTGAACAACACAAAGTAGAATGATAAGGAAAGTTCAAATATTGCATCCTTTGGTCTCCCCCTAGTGGAAATGTAGATGATATCACAGAGACACCCCAGAAATGACAAATGGTGTATTTATTCTCCTTTGTTGTGATTTGTTGATGTTTATGTTCTCACTTCATCTTCCTATAAAACAAATCATGTATTTCAATAATTCTCTTTGCTTCTTCAGACCTCAATATTCTATACACTCAGCTTCCAAACAAGAAAGTTACCTTCTTACAATCAATAATGAAAGAAATTCTGAAATGCTTAAGTAAGGTAATATGTCAGAGAAAAAAGATTGGCCAAAGTAAACAAAGAGAAGAAGCCAGGCATTCAGCCACATTTCCCAGCAGACTCCACATTCAGAAGGTTAAACTCCTGATAAACATATGGTGAGACAGCACCCTTGCTCATCAGGAAAGATTCAGATACTGCCTGATAGGGGTTTATTAACAATAACTACAGATGTCCCCTTTACCAGGAAGTTCCAGAGGGTTAGATCTCTACCTGAAAGTGGGACAAAGAACAAATACTTGATGATACTGCCTGCCCACAACAATGGGCAAATACACGGAGCCTTTTCTCCATTTGGCAGAACCCAAAAGTATCTTCACTCTCACTGTCTCAATTGGCACAAATCACACTCTGATGACACTAACTCAGTGTTTGCAAAAAAGAACTGGAGATGTCCACTTTACCCACAGTCTATAATCCTTGTAAACAGTAGTGATTAAAGAAGTTTCAATGCCTGGACTTTCTGGTGAGTAGCAGCAGGCAAGTGCAGACAAATGCCCTTTCTACTTTCAATTCAGGGAGTCTACCTTTTTTTTTTTTTGACAAAACTACCACATGGGCAGAAATAATTTCCTGATTCCCAATTTTTGAATGCTGACAAGAATCAAGTATTAGGAATAAAACATAGCCTAACTTTCTCCTCCCTTTGGGCCTACTTTAGCTTTAGGCAGTTCACAGCCTGTCCATTATGCTGACCTCGGGGTTCAAAGTCCTCTGGTCCAGAATCTGATGCTGTCCTCCATCCTTCCCACCTCCCACCTGCTTGCTACTCCTGTTTGCTCCTCTCTGGAAAGTACAGCCCTTCTCTGGCTCACCCTAGAACACTTGGGGACTGAGTGTCTGTGCCACCCCTGCTGAC